CCCAGCGCGGGTGTCAGTACAGCCAAGCAGCTCGAGGCGTCTGTGCGAACCGCAGGAATACAGGCCGCGAGCCAGAGCCCTTGCTCGCTCTGACGCCCTGACAGAGCCCTACTTTCAGCGTGCAAGGGGAGCGTGTCAGCTTGCGTCGTGAGAGGGGAGCATATCTGTTTCGGAGGCGCGTATCTCAGGTGCGCACACCTGGTTGAGAGCGGGCCGCATATAAGAAAATATCTTCAGTGAACCTCCTCCCCCCACACGTGGTGGTGAAACAAGCGGGGCAAACCCTCGGGTCTCCAGGTTAGACGACAGGAGCCCCACGGCATTCAAAGTGCAAGGCCCAGTGCGCGTGGGTGAGCGGTGTGTGTGTGTGTGTGTGTGTGTGTGTGTGTGTGTGTGTGTGTGTGTGTGTGTGTGTGTGTGTGTGTGTGTGTGTGTGTGTGTGTGTGTGTGTGTGCTGCCTTCCGGCTGCTCGAGATGATACTCCGCGCGCATCTCCGCGGCAGTCTCCGCCGTGTGGAGCTGGCTGGCCATCATGAGGCCGTTGCTCTGGACGAGCTGCTCGTCGTTGACGGGCACGCCCTCCTCCATTCGCGAGACGAGGAAGTTCATCAGCTTGGCGACGCTCTCCACCTTTGTGGGCAGAGGGTGGCGGAGCTTGATGATTTCAGCCGTTTAGGCAGCAGGGGAAAGGCAGCGGGGAGGAGGAGCAGTGACGAGAGAGCGCAGCGGTGAGGCCTCTGCCTTGCTAGCTGGCACATCTCGCACAAACATCTCGCGGCCGAACTCGGTCAGCATAGGGTACATGACGGAGCCGCCGAGCCCGCTCAGGCCCACCGTGTAGATGAAGCCCGTGGCTCCGCCCTCGTCGGCGACGGCGCGGATCTTGAAGTCCGGCTGGGGGCGCGAATCGAAGCCGGCGGGCCGCAGGCTGCGCACGCTAACGGAGCAGTGCTCGTCAATTTCTGCGACGTGAACCGGAAAGTAGCCGTCCTCACACTTGCCAACGACGTCGGCGTACAGACCGTTCAGCTCGGGACGGTCCTCAACCTCCTCGAGCATCACCTTGGTGCCGCTTTTGAGAAAGAGCTCACAGAGCGTGAGTAGCATGTAGTCCTCGCGGTCGTCCTCTTCCGCGCAGCGCGAGATGTGATCGGTCACGATGTCCCACGCCGCAGCGCTGACACGAAAGTCCTCGCGCGAGCGAGCAAACGAGTCGAAAGCGGCTTGCATGTGTGGTACTTGTTACGTGAAAATGCCGCTGGGGCAAAACGCCAGCACACACGCTGCCTGTGTGTAGATCCCAACGGTATCTGTCCGATCCCGCCTCGAAAAACACGAATCCTCGTCGCCGACTCGTGAGCCTCGCCCCGGTTGATCGAAGCCACGATGTCAAACAAAACTTGCCTCGGGTCGGCCCCTCCGTAGAAGAGGAACTCGAGCTCCTCATAGCTGACGCCGTCGACGGACATAGCGCGCGCTTTGCAAAAGAACAGATGCGGTACGGGAGATTGAGAAGTGAATAAAATGAGCCAAAATGCCACATACCTCAACACAAAATCTCAAAACGAGACGTTCGGCGGCGGCTTCTCGCCCACCGCCGTTCTCAAGCTGCGCCGCCTCGCGCGCAAAGTCGCGCGCGGCAGCGTCGACCGCACGGCCTACTCGCCCAGGTACTCGCTTTCTTTTATGTCCCACCATGCAGAGCGCATCTCTCTCTCTGTTGTGCGAGGCGTGAACCGCGCCATTCGCTCTCACCTGGCAACCCTGTCTGCACGTCTCGCGCGCGCGTGAACAGGGCTCCAGGCCCCAAATGACGTGTGAGTGTTAGAGTTGTCGTTTGGTATTGCTAAAAATCTCTCTCAAAATCTCTGCCTCTGTGTTTTCTTCAGTCCTCCCATCCCTCCCTTGGGTTGTCTGTTTTCTTTCTTTTTAACTGGGCGGCCAAATTCACACCTCGCGGGACTACTCGCAACTCGGGACTACTTATCTCTATTGGCTAGCCATTATGTTTTCGTAGCGCGATGACTATGTTGTGCCGCTGTGTGAGCGCCTCACGTCGGGCCTGCTTGTACTTACCGACCAGCGCATCGTTGTTTGGGCTAGCTTTGAGCTGCAACATGAGGTCTTCCATTTGCGCGAGGCTCATCTTGAGCTTTCGCTCGGGGTTCTTTGTGTTGGAGGCCTGGTCCTCGGAAAGCTGCTGCTGGAAGACCTTGTCGAAGTCAAAATCTATCCTCCGCGCTGGACTGTTGCAACGAATGTTTCTACTGTTTTGCTGAGCGCTCAACCGCCACGCGCGCGATATCAGCATGGTTCCCAATTTCTGCGTCCGTCCATCCGCGCCGCGAGGAGAGTTAATTCAAGGTCGCCTCCCGCTTGAGCACTTGAGCACCGGATAGGGTCGATTCCGCATGGTACGGGACCCCTCGATCGTCGCCCGCTGTAATGTGACGATGATGTTTCACTGCGGACTCAACGAGGCGCCGCCACGCGGCGCCGACTGACTGGTCCCCATGTCCCATTCCTCGTAGAGCCCTGGGCAAAGAAACCAGCACCTCAACCGGCTTCCCTGACTGAGCGTCACTCACAGCTCGGTGATCGCGCCGGCCGGACACCACTGTAACGTCCGTTCCGGGCATTTGAACGCGACCTTCGGGGGCGAAGACATGGGCTCTATGGCTCAGACTGGACTCCTCTTGGTCCCTTCTGATGCCCTAGGCCACACCTGGGCCTTGCCTGGGGTCCTAGGGGCCGGACAGGGTTTGCGCCCCCCGAAAGTGGCAGCGGGGAACCTTATCCTTAACTTGATTCCCGGATGCGCGTCTCACGGCCGGGTCACGGGACGGGGAGGGAGGGGGGTCGATCCGTAAATCCGTATAATCTACGCGACTTTAACCGTCACTTCCACCTAAACACCCTGCCTGCTTGCTCCGCTCATCAGCTCGCCGCCGCCACACGCACCGCAGTCCGGGGTTTGGCCTGTGCCACAGCTAGCCAAAATAAAATACGCCGGCAGTAGCGTAGAGGGCGTCGTGTAGCCCTCCTTTTGGTACATAGTTCTGCCGCGGCGGGTGGACTCGGCGTGCGGTGGCGCTACGCACATTTCTGTGATGGTACCGCTGCGCATCCCCGGCAGCACGACGCGACGACGGTGGCCGGCGCTTGCGCACCAGCCCCGTCCGCCGCCGGTTCCGCGGCCGCGGTCCCTTTCATAGCTACGCGCGCCATGGATTCCACGGCGTCTGAAGGTCTTGCTGAGGCGGTGGTCGCTGCATGGCACTATACGCGTGTGACACTCACTGCTATAGGTTAGTACGGCATGCTGACTGTAAGGCATATGCGCCACCCACGTACCTCACTCTCTACGTACACACTCACTCTCTACGTCGGTCGCGCTGGACGGCAGCGCGTCCCCAGCCTCGCCGTCGCTCTTCTCGCCGTCGCTCGCCTCGCCGCTGGTATCGCCTCGCCGCTGGTATCTCGACCAGCGTGCCTGTCTCGACGACAGCGTGCCCGGCCAGGGCCTCGCCGTCGCGTCCAAGCGCAGCCGCTCCGATGCGCCTCCTGCAACTCCGCGGGCTGCCGCAGCACGTAGTGTCGGCCGTACTCCGCCACGCCCGCGAGGACGTCAGCCGCTCACCGTCTCGACCGCCGCCGCGATTGGCGGAGGGGCTCGACCCGTCGTTCCGTGACCTCCCGCGCCAGCGAGGGCTCCTGGTGCGCCGCCCGTCGGTCGACGCCCTCGCCCCTGCGCTCCACCAACGACGCCGTCGCTGTCCTCGCGCCGACGTGACCGTGATTCGAGGGCAGCCCATTCGCCCTGACCCCCCCCTGGACGCGTCCACCCTCCGTCCAACATTCGCGATCCCTCTTTTACATACATAAAAAACCGAAATAGCGCGCCCCTAAGAAGGGACCAAGAGGAGTCCAGTCTGAGCCATAGCCCATGTCTTTGCCCCTGCTTTGCCCCCGAAGGTCGCGTTCAACACAAATCTCAAATGCCCGGAACGGACGCGGTACAGTGGTGTCCCCCCGGCCCCCGCGTGTGCCCCGACGGCGCATGCACTACATCAAGGATCAAGGTCCGGCCCGACGGTTCAGTTGTGTTGTAAAATTCTTTCAGTGGCCCCTGCCCAGCAGCACCTCACATTCCTCTCGCCTCAGAGATACATATACATGTGCATGTGCAGCACCTAGATCTGATCTAGCGTCGAGGGGGCGTCCTCCCGCCCCCCATACCGCTGAGTCCGCTATCCAATGCATCCGTGAGCCGTGATCCCTCTCGATCGATTGAGAGCCGTGCGGTTATCGCTCGCACCACATGGGGAGGCCATCCCAATGAAAGAGATGGGCAGCTCAGCCTGAACGCTCCCCGTGGACTCCTGTGCCTCCCCCCCCCCCCCCCTCTCCCATCAGCAGCACATGGCGACAGGCGTCTTTGACAGTCCGAGAGACCCACACGTGCTGCTGTTGCATGGTGCTCATGCTGGCCTGGGTTCTGGAAAGAAGGCCGGAATG